CGCCAGTGGTTTGGACTTACTATCTATACAGCTATTTAGAAATTGCCATGTTGATAGCCAACGTCCGCGACGGATAAGGCACGATAAGAAGAAGATGGTTTTACTGATATTGTGTGAGATTTTGCAGGACGTCTTTCAGTTGGACACTGTCAAATGCTCTAGTTAGATCAACAAAACATATAAACGCTGGCTTGTTGTATTCAATCGACTTCTCCACCATTTGTCTTAATACGAACACGGGAAGATCTTGCACAGCAAGATCTTCCCGATCTGAATCCCTGTTGTTCGTCTGCCAACGATTTAAATTGTTGATTTTGTTCGTAATCACTTTAGGTGTTAGTTTTAGAGCAGCGCTTAAAAGGGGTATTCCTCTATAATTTGATGGTATTCTCTTGTCCCCTTTTTTGGACCATTCATCTGGGATTTTGTGTTGATATATAATTTTCTGTATTAAAGTTGTTAATTCTTCTGTTAGTCTTTGCCCACCGTATTTGAGCAATTCATTTTGTATATCGTCCTGCCCGGCGTTTTTTCTACTTCTTAGGTTCTGTAGTGCGTTTTCTACGTCGGATGTATTGATTGTGGCATCTTCGTTAATAGTTATTTCTTCTGTGTTTGTCGTTTTATACAGTTCATTGACCTCCTTTCTGTGCGATCTTATGAATCGCCATATCTGCTTTTGAAGCCCGTAGAAATCACCTTCCAGGCGTTTGAAGGACATTTCCCAGTGACCGTTCGTTATTTTTCTCCTTAATTTTTTAGTTTTGCTCCTAACTTGCTTATATTCATTATATGATTCTGGCGTTAGCATAGTAGAATATTTTAGGTAGGCTTTTCTTTTTTCTTTGCACTGTTCTTGGACTTCTGGGCGGAACCCTGGTGTCTTGTGGTTGATTGCTTGGTTCACTTTTCTAGTTCGTTCTCCAAGTGCCTCCCTTGCTGAATTCTTGATATTATTCTTGATTCTTTCCCAAGCTAGATTGATGTCGTTAGCATTTAAAATCGGGTTTTCTTCAATTTTTTCAACCCGGGGCCTACCCTGGGTAAAAGAAACCACAAGCTCACAGAAACAGACAGAAATGGGAGACAGATTAGAGAAAATTTATTAAAAATTCCAGCACACTTTAAATTGCAACGTATTGCGTTAAGCATATGCGCGCGGGGTTCATTTTGAAACCAAATGGAATAATTATGTCTAGAAATACACTTTTATATTTTTATGAATGGACCCGCCGGTCCCCAGTAGTTACCCGAACCGTTTTTTTGTGCTGAAGTAATTGCTTCAGTAAATCTGGGCGGCCGAGTGTGTCCATAAAATACTGCACAGAAATGCGCTCAAATAAATCGGAATAAAACGCGAATGTATCAGGATGGTAATGGAAATGGTGGAAACCCCATTATGGGTGCCAAGGCGCAGTTCCTCCTGAGATGGGGTCGATTTTGATATAGTTTCTAATGGAAAAATTCCGGAGTGGTCGGCTGGATTTCCATGAAACTTTTCAGGATTTTACGATTTAAGTTTGCGCCGCACTCAGCATACATTTAGAACAATCCTTGCTACCGTTGGAAAGTTGCGAGTCTGCACTTTTGTTCTCCAAACTTGTCTGAATGGTTATCTGCCGTTATTTAAGATCGTGTCGGAATCAATCAACTCACACATTTTTTATTAATTCTACGTTTGGCTAGTTGTTGAAATTTTATTTTGCAAAAAAAATGGAAATATTGAAAATTCCCGAACACTCTGTATAATGCTGTGCTTGTTGAGCAGAAAACAATGCATCCAGCACCAATTAAACAATCAATCTCGGGTTACTCCGGCATGGGAAGCTGCATCTAAATTAAATTGATTTCAATGTTCTGATCGAGACTAAACCAACTCTTTGATTGAACTGCATGCTCTACGCGGTGGGTTTCGGAATGATTGCGCCAATAACTCAAAGGGATCTCGAAATTAAACGAATATATCAATTTTGAATAAACGCGCGTATGTTTCAGCATGTTTCAAATTGCCACCGACAGTTTTCGAATTAATAAAATATATCGGATGAAAATCGACCAGTGAGAGATGCCGAATATATTTCCGAACGCTGACGGCAGTTTACTAATTGGCAATTCGATATTTAGCATTATCGAGCAATTATTTTTTGTTTATCCATAACATATTGAAATACACGTTTCGGTCGATTTTTGCCCAAGAGATTCTTTCGGATGACTGCGCAAACATC